TTATCAAAGAAATGAAGTTTACTTCATTTAAAAATAAAATAAAATATTATTTGATGCTGAATGCTTTTTATAGTATAGATGAGTTTATAAGTAGAAATAAATGACCTGTCAAATTGAAAATAGGATAAATGAGGAAACTTAATTATTTCCTCATTGTGTAAACTTATTGTGCAATGTAAATATTTTGTTTTGTCCCATATACACCTGTTTTTTATGTGAATTTTACAAGTATAAGTTATATTATACAATCATATTTTTAAAATATTTTTTGTGTACAAATGTGATGATTCAGTTTTCAATCTGTCTTTTCATCATTTATTTTCTCACATGATTCTATTGTATTTAATTGATGTGCCAAATGTACACTGTTGTATCAAATATTGGTAAATAAATACTGTATTCTATTCTATTCAATTCTATGCCACGAAAACCCAGTCATCGGTTTTCTCCAAGAATATAAATGTTTCTGAACCGGATATAATAATGTTAAAACAGATGATTCCACTTTCTGCTTCGATATGTTTGTTGGGGGGTTAAAATGGACACCAATATGTCTTGGCACAATCATAGATACTTTCACGGGAGGTGTTCAAGTGACTTCCTTTTATTTTTGTTATTTTCTACTAATATTTTTTTTTGTTTCAAAAATTATCGGCACTGGGCTATAAGCTCTATTTGCAATTGATTCGGTAGGATGTATAACTGCGCCATCTGCAGACAATACCCGGAAGCAATTCCACACATTAACTAATTGTACTAAGAATTTTTCTTTCATTCTCAACCCTCTCAAAAATTAATAAGCACGCCCCCGATTTGCTGTCAACTGGGCTTACTTCTACTCTCAATCATTATTGGTTTTAGTATAGTAGGCATATCGAAACCTTCACAGTCCAATGCAATGTGAGAAAAAGCACTTCAACCTATTCGTCGAGCTTTCGCATTGTTTTAAAGCTTCATCAGGGCCTAAAATCAATACAATGAAACAAAACTATGGTGAATGAAATAAAAAGAGTTTTCTTTCCACAAAATAGTGCTTAGCAGAAAATTCGAAATGGGCGTTATTGTTATGAAAATGAAGTAGAATGATCTAGACATTTTCTGAGAGCCTCCCATTACAAAATTAATCACCAACTAAAGAAATAAAGGAGACAAGAGAGTGAGAAAACTATGAGTCTGTCAGCATCCTCATGTGCCTGATTGACTTGAATTCTACAATCTTCGAACTCTGTTTTGAGTAGCTCAATTAACCAGATCTTGTTGTTGGCGTTCGACAGAAACTTGTCTTGAGTAACTGCGTTGATTATGGTTTTGTCAAAGATCACATTGCATTGGACTGTGAGGGTTTTGATATACCTACTCATTCCTCATGAGTTGTCAAATTGGGTGGTGGGGGGGGGGTTGTATTAGGGGGTGGTCTGGAGAACCTTATCGGACCAAAATGTAATTCGAAAATACAACCAAAAATGCAAGGGTCGCAATAACACACACAAAAGGAGGCGCTATTTGGCTTTTTTACCATTTTAAGAAAAATGGTCCATCTTTGAGATGCTGTAGCTCGCTCCCTATTGGTCAAAGGAGATAAAATTCTGAATCAACTTTGTAGGGAATTTAATTCTCTACAATTTTGTATGGGGACTGTTTTCCGCTAGAATCACTCCTTTTCGAGATATTGCGAAAAAAACAAAAAATGTCCGAAAATTTCGAGGTTTTTCGGCTACCAAAAGTTCTTTCGAGCCCAGAGTCAGAAATAAAAAAATAAAATCTTCTACCCCACCTTTTGTAAAGTGAAATCCTCTGGGAACTGGACTACTATCCGGCTGTTATCTTTCCGGATATAATTCAAAATAAATTTGCGCTGTTTTCGTACTATTCCTATCAAGTTCATAGTAAAGTTTCAACATATCTCGTATTTCTTCATTTGAGAATGAGGACATTTCGACTGAAGTATTTGTGCAAAGTTATGATGTGTGACGAGTTCTGACAACTAGTGTTTATTAAACAAAATTTTCGATGGAGTTATGACCATCTCAGATGAAGTTGTTTTTTTTCAATACCTGTGGTTTCAGAAGAGCAAATCATAACAAATTATACATAAATGAAATCAGAATGAGAAGCACTATTTTTCTGTATCAAAAAACAATATGGCGCCCATAATAGAAAAAAAAGCTGATGATGATTGCCAGAAGACGAAACGTCGATCACGTATAGTCAGTGGGCATACTTGAAGACTGGCTATAAATCAAATCATCTAAAAGAACAATTCGTTCAGGCCAGTCTCAACTTCCTCATCTCTAGTATCGTGACCATTCAAATTACAATCCACTTGGATATTTTATGGACGTCTTTGATATATATCTTTTGGATGTCCTTGATGTATATCCTATGGACGTCCTTGATGGATATTCTGTGAACGTCTTTGATATATATATCCTGTGTACGTCCTTGATATATATCGTAGGGACGTCCACGATGTATATCTTGTGGACGTCATTGATGTATATCCTGTGAACGTCCTTGATGTATATCCTGTGAACGTCCTTGATATATATCCTGTGGACGTCCTTGATGTATATCCTATGGACGTCATTGATTGATATTTCATGGACTTCCTCGATGGATATTTTATGGACGTCCTTGATGAATGTTTTATGAACATCCTTGATGAATATATTAGGAACGTCCTTGAGATGGGTATCTCATGGACGTTATGATGGATATCCTATGGATGTTCATGTTAGATCTGGATTGCCAAAATATATCCTTAGGATATAAACTGGACATCCATCTTATATCTGCATATCCAGAATAGAAATACAAAGTGTATCCATCGGATGTCCGTGTGTTATGTGGGAGTGCAGGACAAAGGGAGATCTATGTTTATGGGCGAATGTTGGTATATATAAAGAAGGTAGTGTCAATATAGGTCCATGAAAACTTCTGTGCACTGAGCTCTATGCACAAGACCATCCAAAATTTGTATTGCATGACCACGTCATTAAAGCATATCTAATTCTTTATTGACTGAATGAGATATAGGCTGTCACACATGATGCAATCTTCTCTTTTTTATAAGAAATTTACTCTGAATTGAATGCTGGTGAAGTAGCCGCCGCAATTTTTTGCGGATATTTCAAAGGCGTTTGATTGCGTTATTCATAAAATTTTATTTAAAAAACTTCATAAATATGGATATAGAGGTGAAACGAACACTTGGTTCGAATCGTACCTTTCAGGTCAGAGTCCAATGGTGAGGACAACGGAACTCTCGGAGAACAGGGCCATTGAATCTGGTGTACCACAGGGTTCCGTGTTAGACCCTATTCTGTTTCTTATATATATGAATGACATATCTATGATCAACATATCTGGTAGTTTCACTCTATTCGCGGATGATACTACAATATTGTGGAAAGAAAAAAACTCAATGGAGCTGAATAAAATAATATCATCCGACTTGAAGAAGGTGAAGAGCTGGTGCGATGCAAATTTACTCTCTCTAAATGCATCCAAAACGAATATATCATTCAAATGTTCGCTTGATGACATTTCAATAGAAGCTGACGTATTACAAAATAAATTAAACACAAAGTTTCTCGGTGTATTCATTGATAATATGCTGAAATTTGATGAGCACCTTAAACAACTGAAGAGTAAGATCTCAGGATGTTATGCAGTTAGAGTGGTTTCAAATGAGTTGGGTTTCCATGTCGCAAAGACCGTTTACCATGCACTTGTTGAATCTCGACTACGTTATGGAATACCTTTTTGGGGAGCATGCAACTCATCCCTCCTCTCTTCTGTATTGATATTACAGAAGAGGGCACTAAGATGTCTCTGTAAAGTTAAACCCAGAGAATTGTGCAGGAATTTGTTCACTGCCAATAAAATGTTAACAGTCATCGCACTCTTTATCTTAGAGACAGTTTGCCTTATTTATGAACATAAATCGAAGTTCAACTTTGCTTCTACTCCTTATGCTACTCGCAATAGTATATTTACATTTATACTTTTTTAGTACTTTTTTATATCAACATTGTATTTCTTGGACTTTGTCAATAAGATGCAAATCTTCGGACAATAAAGTATATTTTGATTTGATTTGATTTGATTAGGAGCACAGTCTTTGGCACCATGTCTCATAAACGTCTCAACATTATTTTCTTGGCTAATTGGTTTCATCGATATTCATACATAGATGGTTGCTAGTAAATCAATTAATAAGTTTTGACTTTTGATTCATTTACAGATCTCTGTGGTACTCCATGATATAATTGCCAAAATGAATTCGAATTATTCAAAATAACGCTGCTTTCTCTCCAGGAGGTATAGGTTAGTTTAGGTTCAAAGTGAATGGGGCTATTCGACCCTCCACCGCAACACGCAAGGGTTTATTGTGGCTGACACCTACTCACATTCGATCAAATAACCCAGCTTCGTAACGAAGCTGATTAGTTTGTATGGTGAGTGGTCTTTCAGGTCAGATGGTAAGATTACGGCTCTGCCGAACTCTAAAAACCTGATTCGATCCCCAGCGGGGCAGGCACAAAGTATATGCTCTGATGTTTCATCATTTTCCAACCAGAGGCGACATACTGTCTTCCGACAGTCCGAGTCTCTGCATATCATGATTCAAATTCATCCCTACTATAGTCCAACAAATGTTTGGAATCAAGTTTCATAGAAGCTCCAGAAGTCCATAAATCTTCTTGCCATCGAGGTGTTCAATGTTTGTTTGGGAAAGCCTAAATAGATGCCAATGCCAGGTTCTGGTCCGATGAAGCTGCTTGCAGCACTCTCCTTTGCAAGGGAGTCTTCAAAGAGGAAGTGACTTTCAATCTTCCTCTTTGAAGATGATCACTTGGTGATCGAAACACGTGTCGAGGTGTTAAAAATAACGATTTGGTGTTGGGAAAAAACTCCAGTAATATTCATTACTACACCAAAGGTTCCAAACAGTGCATCATAAGTACAAATTATATTGATGAAAAAATAGAACAGTCTTTCACAATTCGGATTTGTTTTTTATTCATTGTTTGGTTACAAATCAAAAAATGCAAAACTAAAGCATTATTGCAACAGATGAAAACGTCCATATTGGTTTTTTAAGTTCCTTAAAACTGAGATCACACTTATAGCTACCAACATTCATTATGTGGAAGTGACTGATGAAAATACGAAAGAATCTAAGCCGAAACTATGCATAGCTGAGGTGTCCGACATATTCGACGCTGAGAATTGGAAACAGATATTTGTAAGTAACGACCTCTCACGGGGACGTCGTGAAATGTGGCCAGTTCTTCATATCGTTGAAAATGTATATTCCTGGACTGGCTGTAGCGCTGACTTGTCTTGCTCCAAATAATTTATAGTCTTTGTCAAGTTCTCCCAAGTCTAGGGCACACTTCAAGAAGTCCTTCGCCGCCTGTATCTGGATACTTGGTGGTTTTTTATCTGAAAAAAGATCAAAATACTTCAGTTCATTTCCCACTAGATATGAAACTGAATTTACTAACTGTCTGTTTGCAGAGAAAGCGTTGATTAATGATTCGTTTGAAATTAGAAAAATTATGTAGATATGTTTCTCAAGTATCCTTTTCTCAACATTTTCGCCACCGAGACTATGTCAAGTTGATGCAATCAAAAATATTTATGCAATTTACAAGACGACTGAATGAATGAATTGTTGACGAAAGTATATCTGGCTATTCAGCTATTGCTTTCCGGATTATCGTCTGATATCAAGTGACGTATCTTGTTATTGTATCTTGCATCAAACACAAATATTACCACTTTGATTGGCATTCTCAACAGCGGCGGCTCGTCAGAGGAGGCAAGGGAGGCTTAGCCTCGCCATAAAATTTGAAACTATTCATCGCAATAAATTAAAGATATTGACAAATAATTATGATTATTTTTTTCTAAAAATGCTTGGGTATCATTGCTTTACCATTAATTTTCAATATAAATACATAATATGCCTGAAAAAAACACTATAACTCACTACGTAGTACGTACCACACTGTATCCTGCATCAACAAAACTCAAATGCACCGCCCATGAACGAATAACGAATGAACTATCAACCCGAAATAATAAATGCCATACGTTGCAAGGGAGCCAAGCCTCCGACCGCTTTAAAAAACACAGGCTCCACGAGACCGATCCAACCAGCGACATACGTCCCGATTTGTAATTTCAGTTGCAGAAAGTATAGCATCAGAGGAGGCTTGCCTCCAGTTGGTCTCCGTTATGTACGAATGTGTTTGTTTTTTATTTAATTATTCGGACGGGATACCGTGACGGACCGGGACTGAAAAATATTCCGGTAAATCGTTTTAGTGGCAGTATTATATTATAGCAGTGCTTTTTGGTAATATTTTTAATGTGGTGTTTCCTTTCAATTTTGAGGTGTTTTCAGGTTTTCACTTTTTGGTAAGTTTTTTTTTCATTTATTAAAATGTAAGCAAAATATAGATTCACAACTTTTCAAAAAAAACCCATTTGTATTCAATACAGTACAGTAATTTTTTGTTACGAAAATTCGTGTTTTTCATCAATTTTTTGATTAGAACATTCGGTCTGCAAGGTGAAATTACCCAAATACGAATTGTTTTCCTTCAACTATATTTTTCCCTAGAGATCATTTATAATAGTCAAATTATCGCCTATGCAAGGATGAAAGTAAATGGAACGGCAACAGATATGACAGCCTTATATTTTTTTGTTTGTTTTTGAAATGATTAACAAAAAGTCCTCTTACTCGAAAAATCTCCGATGAAGGCCAGCCCAAGTGATCGGCTGTTATATCCTCTTGTATGAGCTCCTACTTTATGCCATCCTGAGCCCTCGTAAATTTTTCCATCACCTCCAACAAGGAAGCTGAAAATGTACAAAAAAATCTCAGCTGACCCTCACGGATTTTTGCTAACGTGTTTATTACATTGTTTTGTACTTTATTGGTCAGCAATACACGACATAGTGTTTTGACAAATCATTGACTACACCTAATCGTAAAACTAAATATACATATACATATTGGATTTCACAATAATAATTATACATTTTCACGTCACTGTTTTTTTGGATTCCAAATTTCAAAATTTATAAAATTTATTCACATGTTTGTTAAAATGGGTTCAATAATGTTACACACAGTTTATTGACTAACATTGAGGAAATCTAAATTCAGAGATGTCATAATAGGCAGAGCATTGTTTCTGGATGAATAGGTATGTGAACAAACAAAACTGTCGAATTTGGAACGATACCGATCCACATGACATTCAAGAGCGTCCTATGCATCTCGAAAAAATCACTTCTTGGTGTGGATTATAGGCCAGCGACGTCATCAGTCCATATTTCTTTGAGAACGACGTTGGCCAGGCCATCAGTCAACGGCGAGCACTACAGGTCGATGATTACCAACTTATTTTGGTCGGAATTGGATGAATGGATGATCTGGACACCAACAAGATGGCGCTACATGCCACATTGGATATTCTGCACGGGCAGAATTTACTTTATTTGCTGATGCTACCATAATTATTATATTGCATGCCCCTAACAGCCATACGTGGTATGAAGTTATTGAGAGTGATATCACGAAAGTGAAAGACTGGTTTGACTCAAATCTTTTAAGCTTAAATTTATCAACAACAAAAGTAGTGTCCTATCGTTGCCAGATTCCAGCTGTACATTTAAATAATATTCAAATTGACAATGTAACAACTTCTAAATTCTTTGGCATATTCATTGACAATAATTTAAAATCCAACAAACATGTAAATAGTTTGAAATCCAAGCTCTCCTCTGGATGTTATGCAATACGAGTAACTGCATTAGAGCTCGGATCTACAGTAGCTAGAATGGTTTATGATTCCCTTTTTCAATCCCATCTTCGTTATGGTATTTGCTTTTGGGGTGCCTTCAATCAAAAACGTGCAATACGATGCATATGTAAAGCGAAGCCTAGGGACTCTTGTCGGCCTCTTTTCTTCTCTAACAGAATCCTAGCTGTGGTCTCCTCATTTATGTATGAAACGATCTGCTTTCTCTTTGAAAATAGGAACTTGTTTAACAACTTGGACGAGCTCTTTGTATGAAACCAGGCAATGATCCAGCTTCAATTTATCGACCCTAGTTGAAGATTCCATTATTTACAACGGTTTCAAAATGTTCAATTACCTTCCTCAAGCTATAAAAACCGTAAATAGCCTTAGCGTTCTTGAAAAGAGTTGAAAGACTTGCTTTCTGTGAGACCTTAATATAGCTCAGCAGAATTCTATGATGATAATTTTAATTGAGTATGACTAACTGTAATATCTACGGTATTTTATTGATTTTATTCAATTTAAATTCATTTATTTTATTTTATTGACCATGTTCTTACATTCTGATCGGTTTTATCACGTTGTTAACATGTCTCTTTTCAGTTCATGTTACCATTTCTTTTTTGGGTTTGTCAATAACAATTTATTCGTCAGACAATAAAGTGTATTTTGAATTGAATTTGAATTGAATCGAGCGATTTGAGGGCCTGGTCATCTTACGTGGAGCTGATGTGAACTAGCCACCTAGATCGTGCGACTTGAACTCATTACTTTTTCTTGTTGGTTTTCTCAAGTCGCAGGTGTATGCGAATAACCCACAAATCACAGCGGTTATGAAAGCCAATATAACCCATGCCATCTGTCAAATTCAGCCTGATTTAGGCGCCAAAGTCATGGACGTTTCAGATGCGTTCCACCCAGAGAAGCGGTGGCGAATATTTGAACAATGAATAGAATAGAATAGTTTATTGGCTACGTGATACATTTGTACAAATATTTGTAACAAGTCAAAACACAAAAATGTATAATATTACGTCATATATACAAATAAAACTATCACAGTGCTTGTATAACAGAACAGTGTACATAATAATAAAAACAATCAATCAACTAATGTTAAAAATGAGAACAATTGTTACTCAATCAAAGTCACATGAATTATAAATGTTGTATAACATGTATTCATCTGTAGAATAAAAACAGTGATTCAAAAAAAATTATTAAGTTTTTGCTTGAAACAGTAGAAACTGAGTTGTTTTATGTGACATGGTAACTTATAATAGAATTTCAAATTCAATGAAGTATTTTGTGAGGTGCTCAGTCTGAATCTCTCAGTTCTTATCAGATTTCGTGATCTTGTAGGATATTCATGTTGTTGCGATTGTAAAATGTATTTTGATTTATTTTTATGAATTTCAATCAATGTTTCATATACAAAAGCTGTAGGAAGCGGAATAATTTTGAGATGAATAAAAAGTGGGCGACAATGATCTTTAAAGTTGGCATTAGATATTAGACGTACTTATAACTATTTGAAACAAACCAGTTACTTGCAGACTTCATGGTGGCGTTGGCAGAAACACTCAAATCATTAACACTTCCGTGACAGTCCACCAAAGTGGTATCATCCGCAAAAAAAACATTTTTTAGGAAGAATATGGTAGTATAGGTCATTTATACATATATAGTATAAACAAGATAGGTCCCAGTACAGAACCTTCCTAAAAATTAATATGAGGGTCTCCTTTTTTAAAAAGAGGTAGGACTACAGATTTTTTCAATATTGCAGGAAAAACCCCATGAGAAAAGCATTCATTTATTGATAGGGATAATGGGTATGCAATCATATTGGCAATACTTTTGATGATCCCACTGTTAAGCTCAAAAAAGTCCGAACAATTGGAGTTCTTGAGAGACTGGATACTTTCCATTACTTCCCTCGGGGTCGTGGGGAACAATACGAAGGAGTTAACTGGTGTTTCAAGATTTTTCAAGAAATCTGTCGCTCCATATGTTATGTTCTACACATAATGGCATCGATAGGTCTTTTTAACAAATACAAAATTCATATGATATGTCACACACGCTTTGTTTTATTTAAATTTAAAGATAGGAAGCGCTTAATGAAAGACCCTATACATGAAGTTTCCAATTTAAAGTGGGATCAATGGTGTGCCCTAGAAAAGTTATGCTCTGAGGCGCAGTATGCCTGATATTAAAGACAAGTGTGTAAGTTTGATAACGGTCTGTTCAGCAAGAAACAATGTCGACTACATTGAAATTGATTTTTTTCAGTATTGTGATGGAAAACTTACTTGTACCCCACGTTGTGGAACTCCAACGTATCCATATGGAAATTTTGAATGCTCCTCATAATTTTAGAGCAGGATTCCTCAGAATTGCATTCCGGTGTCACTGTGTGGTGTATAATGGCAAACTTGACAGGCATGATTGCGTAGTCTACCGCAACTGGCATTCTGCCGCCCCATCTTTCCCTGGATATGATTTCTTTACAGGAGCTTGGCCAATCTAAATGGGTTTTCATTACATTAGTCCATATTTTGAAATTATTGATGTTTATTATTATATATTCGGTCTCAAGATCTTGCTATCCAAACATTATATTTTCAAGTGAATTGCGATTCTTAAATTTTCAGTATTTATTTTGCATTATTTTCATCTTAGGTACAAAGCAAATTGTTCGATTGCATTATTTTCATTTTAGGTATTGTTAACTAATCTTGTTCAGTTATTTAGTTTTTCATTATTCTCAAGGGTCTCCCAAACGGGGTTTTCCCGTTGGTCTTCTAATATCAGTCCAGTTCCCTGGGGATTTCACCTTACAAAAGGTGGGGTACAAGATTTCATTTTTTTTTTATTTCGTTTTTTGCAATATCTCGAAAAGGAGTTGTTCTAGCGAAAAACAGTTTCTATATAAAGTTGTAGAACAATAAATTCCCTACAAATTTCATATATAATTTTTTCTTCTGCGACCAATAGGGAATGAGCTACAGCATCTCAAAGATGGACCATTTTTCTCAAAATGGTAAAAAAGCCAAATAGCGCCTTCTTTTGTGTGTGTTATTGCTACCCATGCATTCTTTGGTTGTATTTTCGAATTATATTTTGATCCGATAAGGTTCTCCAGACCCCCCTATCACCAACCCCCCCCCCTCTAATTGATAACAGTAGTGCATTTATAGTAAAACCAATAATGATTGAGAGTAAAGCGCGTTGTCATATCTAAATTTTACGTTACCAGATTATAGCAGAATCAAAATATAGTAAACAGTAGAGTTGTAGGTTGTGGCAAATTATAGATAATACACAATACTAGTACGATTAAAAGGTATTATTTATGACAAAAATCAGTAATGAGCTTGTAATGAGTAATACTTATACATTTCCTGATTACTGATCAGTTAAAATTCATTATTTTCTGTATATTTACAAAAAATAAGAATCTAAATTAGAACTTCACAAACACAAACCATATATTTTTTCGTGTCAACGGCATTAACTTCTTTAGTTATTAGCCTCGTGTTCTGGGTAGGCAATGTTAATAACTTCCCGAGCCACCTGGGGTGCCATTCCCAGTCTGTCAGCAATGTAACCCTGTAGAAACATCCCGACTTCAACGATATACATTCTCTCAGAAATGTCAAAAATTACCTTTGAAATCTTCATAAGAGAAAACTCACTTCCCTATTTATGTTATTTTTTGGTATTATTTTAAACTTATTCAGGCTAAAATCCTTAATGGAGTTTGTCAATTTATTGAACATTTTTGGACCAAGATAGTTCATCCGGGTTTGTGTTAATCTCCAATGATGGAAATCAATGTAAATATGATCCTCATGTTTATGCAAATGACAATCCACTTGGATAGTTTATGGACGTCCTTGATGAATATTATATGGACGTCCTTGATTTATATCTTATGGGCGTCCTTGATGGATATTTTATGGAAGTCCTGAATGTATATCCTATGGACGTCCTTAATGGATACCTTAGGGACGTCCTTGATGTACATACTGTGGACGTCCTTGATGGATATTTTATGGACGTCCTTGATTGATATTTTATGGACGTCTTTGATGTATATCGTACGGACATCCTTGATGTATATCTTATGGACGTCATTGATGGATATTTTATGGACTTCCTTGATGGATATTTCATGGACGTCCTTGATGGATATTTTATGGACATCCTTAATGAATATCTTATGAACGTCCTTGATGGATATCTCATGGACATTATGTACATGTTAGATATGTCTGGACGGTCATAATACATCCTTAGGATATAAACTGGACATTCATCGTATATGAGCAATATCCAGAATAGAAATCCAATGGGTATCCATTGGATGCTCGTGTGTTGTGAGGGAGTGCATGACAAAGGGAGATCTATGTTTATGGGTATTTATAAAGAAGGTAGTGTCAATATAGGTTTATGAAAACTTCTGTGTACTCGGTTCTCTGTACAAGACCATCTAAAATTTTTACTGCTTTAGGTTGTGAACCAAATGTTTCAATCGTCGACGCTGCATGACCACATCATTAAGGCATATCCAATTCTTGATTGAATGAATAAGAAATAGGCTGTTGAGAGCACAGTCTTTGACACCATGTCGCATAAACGTCTCAACATGAANTCAGTGGAAACAAAATCAACGGATAAATTGTTCAAAATGACCTCCACCTAGTTCCATACAATAATACAGTCTACTCTCGACATTCCCAAACAATTCTTTGTTGCAGGTCTTCTAGATTTGTAAGCTTAGTAGAGTACACTTTCGACTTCAGGTATCCCCACAGAAAGAAGTCCATCGGTGTGAGATCAGGTGATCTAGCTGGCCACTCCACTGGACCCCAACGCATTGTAAAACGTTCGTCTAAAAATTGTCTCACCTGAACATCAAAATGTTGGTGTGCACCATCCTGCTGGAATGTTATTTCATGTTCTACTGAATTGTCATCATTTTCTAAAATTTGTGTAATCATAGGATCTAGACTGTGGTCTTGTAATAGATTTAAGTATGTGTCTCCATTGAGATTACCTTCAATGAAGAATGATCCAACAATATGATTACCAAGGATGCCGGCCCAGGCATTCAATTTTTGTGGAGTTTTTTAATGTGTTTCCATCACCAAATGAGCATTCACATCGCTCTAGTAACGCCAATTATGTCTATTCACTTCACAATTCAACATGAAAGAACTTTCGTCTAAAATACGTGTATTGTATAATAGGTTTGGGTTATTGGTCAATTTTTCGCTGAATACCTAACAAAACTAAAGTCGACAATCAGGATCATTTTCGTTTAATTCCTGAACTAGCCGAAAAGCACTAGTAGTTGATACATCTGATGCTCTAGCTACTTGTCTGATAGATTGTCGATTATCCATTTGTACATGTCCTAAAACTGCAACTTTAACTCCGTCATTTCTGACAGGACGAGATACTTCATTTTTTCTGTTGTGAACAGAACCCACAGTTCAGAACTTATCCATTAACTGTTTAACATATTCATGGCTCACGTTGTGATTTGGATGATTCGTATTATAAATTCTTGCAGCAGCTTTAGCAAATTCATTATTTCGATAATAGATTGCAACAATTTCTATTCTTTCTGCAGTAAAATAAACCATGTTGGAACACAGCGAACAAGGATGACTTAATATTAATTCGTGAAGAAGCGACAGTGGCCAGCTATCTACTTTGTGTTCTGCGACAATTAGATTCAACAAAAACTACCAGAGCAGAAAAACCTAACAGTGTCGTTCATTTAAAAATGTTTACTTCTTATTAAATGAATTCTACAAATCTAGAAGACCTGCGACAGAGAATTGTTTGGGAATGCCGATTTCTGAAAGTAGACTGTACTATTGTATGGAACTAGATGGAGGTCATTTTGAACACTTTATCCGTTGATTGTGTTGCTATGAATATTACTTTTGTTGATTTCCTCAATAAAATGAACAACAGCGAATTTTCTTTTTTTTTTTAATAAAACGTTCAACATTTAATTTCTAAATAACGAATTAACCAATTTCGAAAAAAATTACAGAAGTAATAGAGGAACAAAATACCTTTTAAATGATGTATCATTTGAACCCACACACCATTGAAAAAAATAGGGGGTAGTTGGTGACCACAGGGGGGGTGAAGTTTCGGGTAGATTTTCACATCAGAATTAGTCCCCCCAGAAATAAAAATTGACGTGTTCTTTGAAATATTCGATTACACGTCCATTTCTGTCTTAAGGGGGAGTCAAATTTTCTTTGGATCGCCCTGTATATTAGATATAATAAAAATTAAATTTTGTTGAAACTTTTTGAATTGTTCATATTTCCTTGATTTTTTTTTATAATCAAAGACAATCTTTACCTCACCCAGTACAACTATGAATCCAATCAGGTAAAGCTGTGTTGATTTTTGAATCACCAGATAACAAAATGTTTTTATTGGTTTCAAATTTCCTTATCACAATGGTCACTCTGATAACTCATTCATCCTTGTGGTCAGGTAAACTTTTCAAAAGGATGTAAAGATTGTCAATAGAAAATCTCAAATTACAATACCAGTGAATGAAAAAATAAATACCTCAATTATAATCTAACAAACTACAAGTAATTTCAATAATTTACTAAAATGGTGGCTATCATTTGAAGATGTTTACCTATTGATAGTTGAGTGCAATAAAATCAGTTGCTTTCATATAAATTGACTGAACAACTGGAATAGTTACTTGTTGTTTGACAGTGTGATCGAAAATGACTTCAACTGTAGAGTACCAGGTAAGTAAAAGTATGTTTTTGCAAGAAACATTTTTTTATTGGGCCCCAGAATATGTACTTCAAAAATTCATTTCAGAAAATATTTCATTAGGATTGGCATGAAACATTATCGTATTAAATTCTTTGCAGTTGATATTTTTATTAACATAAAGATTTTTCAATAATTTTGTTATTGGTGAGAGTCAGAATTTAAAAAAAATATCGGATTTTAAGTTTTCTCTATTAACAGAATCTTATAAACATCACCTGCCAGAGATAATTGAATAAATTGAAAGCTTTTTGAAGAATTCGTCATAGTACTTGTCTCTGTCTCAATTTTAGTCTCAGTCATTGTATTGAGGAGAAATTTACACCTGGTCAACTTAGGGCCAAAGTATACATCTTAGTCCTTGTCTCTGACGCAAATTTAGTCTCAAGAAACAAGTTCAAGAAACAAGTTCCATAAAAGCATTTATAAGTTTCATGTCCTCATCTACAAATATCGGTTTATGGGTTAATTGAATTAATTTGAACAGATGATGGTTAGAAAAAATGTTATTCTTATAGTAGCAGAGTTTATTACTAAACAAAATGAGGCTATAACAGCCATATTTGTTGAAACTGGTCAAAAATTGCCATTGCGTTCGGATTAGTAACACTACATGTCACGTGTCACTCGTCCTGATTCTCGGAAACAAAATTGTGCTGTATAAATGGAGACAGAGTCATTGAGGTAAAGGCTGAGACAAGAACTAGGAAGTCTAAATTGGCCTTTACGATGAAGATAGTTATTGAAAAGAACATTCTGCTGATGGACATCGCTCGTTGTAAAAAACAACCACTTCACAAGTTGCCCTCAGTTTTAAGTCAACCGCTTATGATACCAAACACCAATCGAGATGGCCTCATAAAAACCACATTTAAAACAAAACAATCAATCATCAGCTGTTGACAATCAACTGAATTCAATCAACTCATCAACTGTTATTCGTAGTTGTAGGACATTCGATGTCTTGTCTCAGTCATAATCCTAAAATTCAGAAACTTTCAAGGTCACAATTTAAAGACTAAGACTTAGGACTTAGACAAGGATATTCAAAGTTGTGTGTTGTAAAGATTCAACATTTTTTTGGCTAAAATTAATACAGCTAGTATGTTCAAATTCCACCTCCACTAGTGAAGGCGAAACTTATTCAGAAGTCATTACTATGCGAAATGTATAATTATTGATTTCTTCTTGTGGGATAGTCGTGGATTCAATTGAATAAGGTTGAAATAAGGAGGTGCTAATTCAGACAGTATTTTTAATGCCAAAATCATGAAGTAAAATATTATATTCTTGACAGAAAGCCAGTCCTGTATTATGCTAATTGTTCTCTAGGTCTCTCCTGAAACAGTGCTGTGCTGATTTATCCAGGAAAAATATTTAAAAACAACAGAAGAATCAACGGTCTCAAGACAGAACCTTGTGGATTTCCAAGGGCACATTGCCTGTCTTATAAACCATTTTCAATTTTAACTGCCTGTCTTATAATCTGTTTTTGATTTTAACTGATTTCACTCTATTTTGTAAATAATATTTGATCCAATCAAAAAGAATTCCTCTCACGCTAGTACAATAAGCTTTTCCAGAGTAAATTTATATCCAGATTGTCAAATGCCTTCGATAAATCAAGCCTCAACAATACTATGTAAAGGCCCTTATCTAATTGGTAATCAACAAATTAAATAGTTGATCAGGAGTTCCTCAGCGATCAATATTGGGCCCCCTTCTTTTTATTATTTATATTAACGGTTTGCCAAATATGTTCACCTCAAATATCGAGACAATTATGTATGCTGATGACACCACATTTGGCATCAGTATCAATAAAGGGGAGTGTCCGGCTACAATTCTGGGGAAGTTATGGAACAAGCAAAAACCTGGTTCTTGACAAACAAGCTCATACTCAATGAAAAAAAAAAGTCTCATTTTCGAATCCAGAATATCCTACAATGTAGAAAACGACCTAGACATGCTGCACTAAATTTCTGGGTGTAGATGTAGATGTCAGGCTACTATGGAACATACATATATATATTACAATGTAGAAAACGACCTAGACATGCCGCACACTAAATTTCTGGGTGTAAATGTAGATGTCAGGCTACTATGGAACATACATATATATATATACAATTTGCAATAGACTAAATAGTGCAGTATTTGCTATAAGAAAAGTTAAACAACTTATTAACCAATCTACTGCAATAACTACTTATTATGCACTGTTCAAATCCATTATTAGATATGCCTTGTCTATCTGGAACTCGGCAGCTCAGTTTCATTTAAATGTTATAGTCGTCATTCAGAAGAGGGCTGTAAGATCTATTATAGGAGCTAATTTTGAAGACTCCTGCAAACCAATCTTTAAAACGTTGAGAATAATGACACTTTACTCGATGATAATTTTTGTAAAGTTACTATATAGCAAACAAAACATTAATAGTTACTCTGGTGTGTCCGATATACACGGTCACAATACTAGAAGTAAAGATAATTTGATTGTACCTCAAACCAGGTTACAAAGAAAGGATGATACTATTGATATTGAAATGTAAAATGCCCTACCTCTCACAGTACGTTCTCTAAACTTTACTAAATTCAAAAAATATTTAAAGACATTACTTACGGAAAATCCCCTACATGGTATTAATGACTTTTTCCATTCATTCCCTGTACCATAAAGCAAAGATGCCTTGCACGATTGTATGTATGTACTATATTATTATTTTTATTGCACGGTTAAGTATCTTCTGAAGATTTTATATTTTACTTTTTGAGCATATGTTAATTTTATCGTATTTTGTGACATGTTCTAAAGTTGTAGCTTTGTTATGAACCAAATAAAAATTTCAATTTAAATTTATCTCAAAATTCATCATTATGTTGTATACACCTCGCTCCAAAACATTAAAAAACGGAGATAATACTGATAGTTGACAAGAGTCATCGTTTTCAAAAATTTACATTACACCAATCTGTTACCAAATTCACTCGTTGTTTGTATATTGCAGGAAAGTTTAGGAGGAAACTCCTTGACGTCTATGCTGGCTACTATTTCCCCGGCCAATACCCACCTGGAGGAAACCCTAGCAACGTTACGGTACGCCTGCCAAGCCCGCTCCATAGTCAATCGGGCCAGAATCAACGAAAACCCTCATGATCGTCTGATTCGAGATTTGAGAAGCGAAGTCGAACGCTTGAGAGCCCTAAAACAGGTCCACGAGATCAGTGGCGTGTCTTCCTCCTCCTCTGTGTTGACAGACGACAGCCACAACGAAGAATTGGAGGAACTCAGGAGCAAGCTCTCGAGCACCGAAGAAAGACTAAACGAAGCTCAGAAATTTTGGGATAAGAAATTCCTGGAAGCGAAGCGAGCCCAGCTCAAGGAACTCGCCGATGCGGAGAAATACAAGGCTGAGCTGGAGTCGAAAGTTCGTGTGATGAACACGGTGGATACAAACGTCGAGCTGGAGCCTTACAGGACGAACTTCTTAGAAGAGCTGGAGGGAGTTTTGATGGAAAGTTCTGATAGATTATGTGACATGGACCAGTTGGACGTAATCAAGAACTGGTGTTGCGATAACGGACTCATCTGCACGTTCAGTTCTCATTCGATGATAATTAAGGACCCTGTGGAGCAGAAACAGGCGATTGTTTTGTTCGACCAGGCCGGCATGGCCGGTTTCGAGAATGTAAGTGACTTTGTAAATAGTTTGACGTGGACCAAAGTGAAGAAAACTGTTAAAATTTTGAGCAAGAAGGAAGTGATGTTATCCATGAATCAAGTTTATGAAGCGTTGGCTACTCTGCAGCCTCACGATAGCGATAACGAGCTGAATCTCTTGTTTGCCAAGGTTAACAAGTCCTTGCAGAAATTTGAGGCCGCGCTTTTGAGTAGCGTTAAGGATAGTAGTCATAAAACTGTTACTTTTGATATGTGATAGTTTTGATAGTTTGTTGCTTAGGCTTTGCATAAGATTATGCAGTTTGTTTTGGTTCCTAGCGAATTGTGACGTACTTAGACTTCTAAGAAAAATGTGCGGTTGATGAAAATAGTTACCAGGGCCTTGAGAACTTTTTTAAAAAATGTTTGTTTCGGGTGTCTACTGTGACATAATTCTTTCCAAATTCTTATAGCCTGCTTTCTGATTACTTGTGCTTATCAGGTGTGGAAAAATTATTTTAAAATATATAAGTATGGGCACCTTTTTTAATTAACCAATCAGCAGTATCAACATTTTCCATTCTCTCCTCATTTAAACAATTTCTGTAATCAATTATCTCATTCTCATTTTAGAATAGTTTTTCTATGTTTATCAAAATTTGTTTTATGTAAAAAAGTTTCAGTGATAATTGCTGAATTTTCCATATTATGCAGTTCATGATGTTCTAATGAAAATTCACCATGATCGAATCTGAATAACCTGGTTTTAATTTTACATTTATCTGGCACATTAACATTATTGAAATTTTTGAATATTTAATTTATATATTTGGTATATCAAACAGTTGCTCATACTGAATGTACCTTTTAAAGTACAAGTTATCTACAAAATATTGAAAAACCAACAAAATTCACGAATGATTTTCAAAATAATTGAAGACACAATCTGAAAAGGTTTTTTTTATGTTATCTTTCTATAAGAAGTATCTTCAATTTGGAACCTAAAATGATGAACAATTAAAACTATTCAATCATTTATATTCTGGATTTTATTCAAGAACCAGTTGAATAAATTCAGCCTCACTTATAAAACAGTGGAAGACTTTTTCTGATAAAGAAAAATAATCTTGAAAGCCATTTATAAAAGTTAGAATTGATTTACAAAATTCTATCTAGACAAGTTATGGAACATAAATTCTAACTAACCCTCTGTATATTTGTAATTTTTGAAACCAGAAAGTTTCATTGCGAAATTTTAACAAGAGTTTTTTCAACACTAAAATTTGAAACAAGTAAGTCGTCAGAATATTTGTATTTCAAACACTGTACAATTAAAACTTAATCAAGATTCGTTTTCATTAGTTTTCATAATATCATCAATTCAGAGATTTTCACTGAAACTTTTTTACATGAAGATTGTTCCGGAAGCAAATTTGTTTTTTTTTATCTGGTCCAGCTAAAACCTTACATTTTGGCCAAATCCACAATAAAAAATTCTATTTCTATGAAGCCACTACAAGAAATATATACATAACTTTTCATTCATCAAAATCATTCTCTAAATTTCCCAGTATCCCCCCCTGTCTGTGTTGTTGAGGAAATAGTAAGGTTTTAAGATATTCACTCCTTATTCAGCATGTTCCAGAACTCCAATCTCTAAGAGCTCTTATAATAAAAATCCAGCATTTCTCTAAATTTCGATCTCACATGAGATTAGGTCTGGACATTTTGCAGACCACCCAATAAGCTGTATTGAACCACATCACTTCAGCCATAAGTGTTTGATTATGATAATGAATTGCCATACATTTTGTGAAAATTTTTTTGTGTTACGCTTTTAATGTTTTGAATTCAAGGATTTACTAATGCCAAAGTTTATTTTTATTACATGATGTGGGATGAACATTGTGCCATTGTACAGTGTGTGCCACAATTAGCTTGTGTAAGAAGTTTATTTTGAATAAAATTCAAATGGTATGCTTTTTTGGGGACAAGCTTTTGTGAGAATCTTTTGATCATAAACGCTCTCATAAATTAAAATCTGCAGTAACCAATATCCACTTCAAAAAAGCAATATCTCAAAAGAATTGATGTAAATGGAACTTCAACAAACATGAAAATCCCTTCAACATACTTTTTAAGTTTCAATGCAATCTCTTTGTGGTGTTCACTGTGAATTTTCTGTAGTTAATATGTATATAGCTGCAATTATTTATTTTTCAAACTTAATCACACTGTTTTAATTATTTTAAAACTAGCAATCCAGGAAATTCTATTGGTTTATTTTATATTCAAAAAAAACTGATCCTGTTTTTTTTAATATACAGTTCATTTTTAATGGTGGTTAAACTGACCATGCAATTTTAT